ACGTAGCAGCTGGACCCACCGGTGGGTCCGTAGGGTTCTAGGGGTTAATGCGGCATGAAGGTAACCAGCCATTGAAGTATCCCGATAGATGGCTGTGTTAGCTATGGACTTTAGAAAACCCAGTGGATCAGAATCAGCAGATGGCATTACAGCCAAAAATCGCCCCTATTGAAGCATCCAACTAGACTTTAGGCATGGTGGATTCTGCATCCCACTCCTCCAGATTCTTTGATCCTGATTTCTGAACTAAATTAAAAGGTTAATTTCATGTGAAAAACTGACCAGCACAAACAAAGCACTCTGATCAGACAGCTTTCCTTCCCTGGGAAGCCATGCATTGTTCTTTTTAGTTGTTTTAGTTGCCTGAGAGGACCAGTGGCTGAAGATTAGGATGGGTTGTGTGATGTTCGATATGCTCTTACTGGATGCTGAGTTAGTGGCTCCTATTGGGAGCCACTAACTCAGTTCTCAGATGGAGAAATGATTGGTTTTGCTTCTAGGGAAAGGGAAGATCAGAGGGTTTTGGCTGAGAAAGGAGATATCTGTGTCATGATGGGTCTAATGTGTTTGACCCACATACAGAAGCACTCACACAGACCGGAAAAGGTTTAATAGTTTATTGAAGGGGAACTGTACAGAGATAGGAAAAAAAACAGCTTGGGGAGGTTCCTGCGGTCAGGTGAACCGGAAGCGGAAGCTCTGGGAGGAGATCATAGGGGTGAGTTCAAGGACTGTGGGAAAACTGGCTGATGGTCTGAATACTAGGTAACTTGCACTCACTGTGGTAGTTGGGAAGGTTTCTGAGATCCCATTTGTGGAGGCTTGATCTGTTGAAGGCTTTGTTAATTGGAGGGCGGACAGGAAGACTATGGAGATCCTAAGGAGCAGCTGAGCACACTTTTACTTGGTTCCTGAAGGGCTCAGCGTTCAGATGAGATCTGTCTCCTCTCAGTGTGACGAGTGTATCTCTTCCAATACTTGAAGGGCCAGCTTATCCAGTGGATCTGGAAAATCCTGACAGATAATCAAAGACAAAACTAGGTTAGCGCTGAAAGAGCTCAGAAGACACTTGGACTCAAAGTAGACTCTGCTCACTCTGAGGGGCTTGAGTACCCAATACTGGCAAACACTCTGGCGAGGATGTGAAGACAGTCTGCTCCTTAAATACTCCTCAGGAAGTGATGACCCAATAGGCTGCAGGTGTGAGGTGAGNTGCTGCTTCTAACTGGATAAATAAACGGCTTTCAATCCAACTTGGTTTGTTCAGTTCTTTAGTGCAGTTATCCTAACTGGGGGTATATGTACCCCTAGTGGTCCATGCATGTGTTGCAGGGGTACATGAGAATATTTCTTGGGAAATAAAATGGGGTGGAATCTGGTATTGGTGGTTTTTCAAACCAGGGTATCCGAGCTCATCAAAGCAGCTCAGGCTTCTTGTTGAACGATGTAAAATGAAGCTGGTCTTTAGTTTCCAATTCAATTTTAAATGTGATAAGGTAGCTCCAGTCCTATAAATACAGGTTTAATTTTGTGTTCAGTTCAATATAACATTTGAGATGGCAAGCATAAAATTAATTGCTCAAGTTAAAAAGGAAAAATGTTCTCATTATGTACAAATGTCTTTGACTAGGGTACAAAAGAATGCCCAAAGGGGTTGAGGATACACGATGCAAAGGTTGGAAATGACCAAATCGCACCTCAGCAAATTTGAGATATTTTGACTGAATTTCAGCTGTTAGAACCTGAAGGGACAACGTCTGGTTTACTATTGGCTTATGCAGAATGTAAAAGTCATTACAGTTAAAAACTGGACTTGAAGCTCTGAACTTTCAGATCTGTGTAGCTGACATTAAGCAAAAATCTCATCTTTCAAGGACTAAAAATGACAAGTTAAAAGTAATTGGTTTCCATGAAACAACCCAATTTAAACTTTTTGTCTACTTGATCCCAAGCAGACTTGGAAAATTAAAATCCTTTCTTTAAAAAAATCAAGTGTTGTGCCCCCTAAAAAACTGAGGAAGAATAATACATTTGAATTGCAAATATTATTGGGAATCCCCTCGGTTGATTTGAAAAATAATGCATATTGACCCACGGATTTCATCCATCTGAGACAAGATCACAGCTTTGCTCTGGGTCACGTCCAAGTAACCAGTCGGCAGCTCAAAAACACACCAAGGCTGAATCCCAATCCAGCCCCTAAACACGAACCCGCCATATTAAGGACCGTCCCAAAGCTCGTAGTGGGTAGGTCCAATCAATCTACGCCCTTAAATAGCTCCTCTGCATCAGTCCGTGCTCACTGGAATGTGGCAGCGGGTTTAACGGCAAACTAGTGGCAGCAAAACCACATTAATTCACATGTAACTTTTGATTAGTTGCTGCATCTTTGTCACAAGGAAAAAGTCATTGATACTAAAAAGTTAGGTACTCTTTAAATTTTTATTTTTTGTCAAATGTTTTAATTTCATGTCAACCTGTGCCACAGAGCTACATGGTGCGTCACTATGTTGTCATAGCAACGGCTCCTTTCCTTTTCTAATGGAGCCAAGAGGGTGTCCCTTTCTCACTTATACCCCACCTGTACAATCAAAGCGCCCTCCACAGCTGAGAGTGGACACTGATAGTGAAGGGTTAGTGGGATTCACCCAAAGAAAGCTCTCAGCTTTGTGACCACCTGCTAACTGTGCTTATTTCTTGCCCCACACTTACTGAACTCCTTTCAGCAGAGAGAAAAGCCCCTTCAATTTCAATATGAGGACAGAGTGTAGGTTTGGACAAGGCCTGAGCAAATATTGTAAGATTCAAAGAGCAGGGTCTTTCTCTGACTCAGCGGTCAGTCCTGCACAGAGGTCAAATCCATATCACCCACGCACAGCAACATACAGAGCTTTGTTTGAGGTATGTGAAGAGGGGAGGTCCGGGGGGAGGTGGTATGAGAAGCTTGTATTTCTCACAGAGGCTGCTCTAAACCTTTGTCTTTTGTTGCTGGCTGCTCAGGATGAGAACAGCTTTGCTCATTGTGTTTCTGCTCCCTGTGCCGCTGGTGGCGGCCCATCCAGCACCAGGTAGGAAAGGTGGCATAGCTACAGTATGAGATATCATTGGCTCATTTTTATTCTGTTATTTTTCACAGCTTTACAAACTTAAAATATTCAGAAGTGTTGATTGTAGAACTCAAGTACTGAAATCTAAAAGCATTACGATGGTGATTTGAAAAGAAATGTTGAGCAACATGTTTAGAAAAAAAAACTTTTCCAAAACAATGAAAGCTGCATCTGCATGTCTGCAGGGTGGGAAGTAAAAACATTGCTAAAATATCTTTGCTATTCATTTCTTATTCAGTTGGTAAATACCATATAAAATAAATGAATTATCTACTAAATGATCATTATTAATCACAAAAGTGCCAATGAAACTGCTGCTGAGTCCTTTTCAAAATTATCTTTAACCATGTTAAGCAGCTTTTGATTTTGTCCTGCATGTTTCACAAGATTGGAGCTTACAGGAACAAGGATCTTTAACCTTTTAATTTAAATCCGATTTTATTTATAAAGCCCCGGAGGGAACAAAGTGCAGTGTAATGCAAAACAACCAACCGTCTAACAATAGATTATCTAATAGAAACGAACAAAAGATAAGAGCTAAAAACAAATCGAAATACAATTAAATGCATCAGATAAATAGAAGCAACAATAACTAAATGTTAAAGGGGTCATAGAATGATTCTATAGTGTATTTGGTGCTGGTCCCTTAACCCCTAGAACCCTACGGACCCACCGGTGGGTCCAGCTGCTACGTGACCTCATAATTTTAACAAACCCCCAGTATTGATGTAAAAAACACATTTGGCACAGTTTGGTGACATTTTTGGGTAAATGTGCCATAATGGCCCCTCCGTCTAAGGAATTTCTCACTAATACCATTCTAAAATAAATATGATTCATCTGATTGAGTCCAAATTTGGTATATTTTTACACAACATTTAGATTTAAAAGTCTGTACTACTTTTTTGTGCTATAAATAATATTTTGATAGTGTTTTGCAATGTTTATTTCAAAGAAAATTTTGGTGAGGTTCAAAAAATGCAAAATATTTTGTATTTTGTCCCTAATATTTCAGGCAGGGTCAAAGCTACAATGGTGCTGACACCAGAAAACCATTCTATGACATCTTACCTTTACAGACGTACCAAAAGTTTCTTCTTATATCTAATAGCTGTGAGGCTATAAGTTATTTACTTTTGTGTGTTTTTGTCAGGCAGAAATTTATTTATACCCCCTTAGGGTGTAAGAGGATCTCTGAATAGGGTGTGTAACATTGGTTGGGCTGAAAATGGCATATTTGCTGTTCTATGATCCCTAATGCAAGCCTGGTTAAAAGCCCTAGAATGAAACGACAGGTTTTCTTCCTTTTATGAATATTCATGAATATTTAGATGAGCTGTGCGCTGATTGGTTGGTTTACAACGAGCGAAGCTGCTGAGCAAAGACGCATCATAGCAACAAGCACTCACTGAAACATCAAATTGTTGATATGGTAGGGTGACCAGACATCCTCTTTTTGTCATGTTCTAATTTTCATACCTAAAAAAAAATTAATGGGGGGAATTTCAAAAACCCGGGATTTTGGTCGACTACAGTGCAGGACATAGTAGTCAGCTCCGGGAACCCCGGCAGACGGGGGCGACCGAACCCGACCCGGTGACAGTAGCCTGGACACTGGCAGCCCCGTGCCTTACCGGCCCCCAGCCCCCCTCCTCCGGCTGGGGATGGACGGCTCCTGGCTCTCAGCTGAGGTCCGGTCCAGTCAGCGGCCCAACAGTTGATGCTTCATACCCCCCCACCCCTCGGGCCAGTAAACCAGTGAGCTGGTCTGTATGTAGACTTCGGAGCGTGACAAAAGTACAGGCCAGAATCAAATAAGGCAACTCGGGGCTTTGTTTGCCCGTTTTATGGAAGTTTAGAATTGAGAGACTTGCAGAGAAAGGAGGCGTCGATGGGATTTAAACTTCTCTTTACGTCCATTTCACCCACTGAACTATCGTTAGTCATCTATGACAATGGAAACCCGGTTTTGCATTCTATGACATCCTTTAACAAAATTTGTGTAGGGGTCATGAATGAAGATCTAGAACGGCTATATGGCGTTTATACCTGGAGGTCTGCTGAGGCCCGATTCCCTGAGCTTAGAACCGGTTCTAGATACAGCAAAGAGCCTCTAACAGAGCTGGTTGGTAACATGGTTCAGAGGCTTAGAGGAACAATACCTTAGATTTGCTTGCTGCATTTATTGGTCAATAAAATCTAAAGTTACCTTGGAAAAAGAAATGTTAGTTGGCCTTTTAAGCAGCAGCTCACCCCAAAGGTCCTCAGAACCAGATTTAACCAGAACATCTAGTTTCACCTTGTAAATGGCAGAGCTCAGTCTTAGAACAGTACTTTCCTACACTGACAATTGTTTTCTACTCGCTACTTTAGATCGCCAATGAAATGTACAGTAGCAAATACAGCGAATGTGACTCAAAGAGATTTGATCTGTAAGAAACTGGTCCAATACAGTTTGTCCAAGTGGAGTTGCCATATGACATAAGGGACAGGGCCCCGAGCAGATAAACCGGTTCCGACAACTTTTTAGATCAGGCGTCCCCAAAGTCGGTCCTCGAGGGCCACTGTCCGGCAGGTTTTAGAGGTTTCTCTGCTCCAGCACAGCTGGTTTTAATTGAAAGCTGATTAACAGGCTTTTGCTCAACTGCAATCATAATCAGCTGTGCTAAAGCAGGGAAACTTCTAAAACCTGCAGGACAGCAGCCCTTGAGGACACCTGTTTTAGAGCCATCTGCCTCATGAAACATTCAAGTTTTAAATTTCACTTCCTTTCCTCCAACCAATGCATCACATCAGATTAACAAATGTTCCTAACATTA